TCATTATGTATAATATTGAAGACATAGTAGAAAACTAATACGGGAAATGTTTACCTTAATGTTCTGCATAAACTCACATGTTAATATTCTACATAGATAACCATGTTATTTCTTAGCAAGAAGTACATTTTATTGTCATGGCCAGAATGTGAATAGCGTTTTTATATACAAAACAAAACAAAAGTTTTAAAAGTAACAATTATTCATACTACGTGCCAGAGGAAGGAAGGGAAGAAGAGAGAGGAGACAAACACTAACTTTATGGAGACGTGTGTATGATAAAGTTTCAAGAAACAATACATGCCCCATCTGTTATGCAGTTGCATTTTGTTAAAATACAAAACAAAACAGCAAATGCTGTAGGTAATACACCCAACATTGATTCCAAAACCATACAAACCATTCCACTATCTTTAGTCTTAAAGGTCTGTGCACAAAGTGTTCTGTTGTTGAGAAAGAAACACTGAAATCCTAAGATTTTGAAAAAATAAGGTTGTGTTATTTATAATTGGTGTCCTGGAAGAGTGGGTCCTCCTCTTCCCTCCTCTTTCCTTCATCATTCTTAACCATCAGTGGGGTGATTTGAGATTGAGAGAGAGGTTTTTTTTTTATAAAGTGTTAATTTATGCTGAAAATTCTCAGGACACAAGCAAGTATTTAGAAGACTAGCATATGTATTTAGGCCTTTGGGAAACTTTAAATCATGAATCTGTTGAGTCTCTGTTCTGTGTAAAGCAGTAAATTATTTAAAAGACATGTTTTTTAGTCTATACGGATAATTTGTTCCAAGGAATCCTCATTTTCTCCAAATAACTGAGACATTAGTATAGCAAGGCCACATTTCCTGGGTAATGTGTCCTGGTAGTTAAGTAATTACCCTGATTTTTATTTTAGGATAGGTATGATACCTTTACTGTGTGACAGATCTAGTAACAAATTAAGTTTGTAAGTTTTTGAATTTTGTTCTGTTTTGAAATTAGTTTTACAAGATATTTTCTGATTGACATGTTAAAAATCAGATTCTGTTAAGTATAAAGAACTGAGGCAAATAAGTGTTATCCTATAGTGTCAGGAATTAAGGTGTCCCACATGAGAGAATTTTCCGGAAGGGTAAAATTAGGGCTCATAACTCTGATAATTTTGTTGTAAATTTTAAGAAATTAGTGAAATACTTTATGTATGTTTATATATATTATCTGTATATCAAGGGAGAAAGAGAAGTATTTCAAACATCCAGAAAAGTGCAGAAACTATTTTGGTAAACACCTATGGTACGCACTGTACTAAATCTTAGCATTTCTTGGAGTATGTGGGATAGCCATCAGTCACTTAGAGCTGATTCAGGTTAATTATTATGAATGAGAGCTGATGAGTGAGCTACGCTCTGCCTAGCTTATTCTTACTCAGTTCCCTTAGACCTAATGTGGCATATTCTTCTGATTTATCCTGATGCTACATATTTCTTATTAATATACAGCAGTGAACCTTTCCCTTTTACCCTCTTATTTAAAGCAACTTTGGAAGAATGGAACACATTTCTCAGATGAACAGCCTGGATTTGCATGTTACTCATGTGAGGCAAATGTAGTTGTAACGAATAATTTTATTCCAGTTTGCAGCAGATTATAATCGAAAAAGAAAGACTGAGATTTTTGTCTTCTAGAGCAGTCTCTTTCTGGTTTGGGCAAGTTATTTAACCACTCTATATTTTGTTAATACCTTCCCGATAGGAAAGTTGTGAGAATTAAGCGAGCTAGTGTATGTATCTGGCACACAGAAGTTGTTCAGCGAAGGTTGCTTTGATATCACTAGCCTTCTTTCAAGTGATTAAACTTGCTGAAGTCTGATTTCCAAATGAGTGGGGGCATTTCTGCACAACAATATTCAAGGATTTCCATCCCTTCCCCTCCCCAAACAAAGCAGATTTTAACATTAGATTTCGTCATCCAACTCTTAGAACCTTGCTGATTTCATTATACGTCTGGTTTATTTTTGTACCTAAGGTCTGATAGGCACATAACAAATGCTTTGTGAGCCTTAAAGTAAGTGAAAATAGATTGTTCAGATGAAAGGTATGTGGATAAGTCAGTTTTTGGGCAATTCTAGAGAACTCTTGCCAGAACTGGTATCTTTGTTTTGGTCTTCAGAGACTATTAAATGTGATCACTGAGTCATACTTGCTGTGTTCTCTGTCCCCTGGCTCTCTCTCTTAAGACCCTGAAGCTTGCCAGCCACACACAGGATGTTTAAAAGGCAGAGTAGGCCTTAGCCCAGGGGGAGTTTGTTTATTTAAAGAAAAATAATTAAGTTCAAACATCCCTACCATGTCATAGCTAGTCTAGTCATGTTAGAGTTAGCGAGTTCTTTTGATTCTTTCTGGTGGTCATGGTGCCTAAAGGTAACAGTTAAATTTGAAAGGAGTTAAACTTTTCCTGAGATTACTTGGAATTTTATAATGTAATCCCAAACAAATCCCTAAAGTGGGAGGAAAGGGAATGCCATTTATTTTGCTAGTTGTTTTTTAATGAGACTCATGTAATTCAAATCTTTCACCACTTCTTTCTAGGGTTATGAAAGCGATGATTTAAAAACAAAACCAACCTCCCCCACCCCCACCTCCCAAAAAACCTTCCCTTTCACACACATTATGGTAGCTCTATCTTTATTAATTCTTTGAAGTTGGGGCCATAAGAATCTTTTAAAAGGGACAGTGTAATTTCATAAATGTTTAGGCATGAAGAAATAAAAATGGATTATGTTTGTGTTTCAAATGATTATCATCTCTAAAATTGATGACTGATTTCTCCTTACATATTCTCTGCCAGATAAGGAAATCTGAGACAGACGTTCTGGGCCTACCCTAGGGTACCAGTGTGTATCTCTTCAATGAGATAACTTAAAAACCAAATCCTAAAGGAAGTGGAGAAGGAATAAGTACAAGTCCTGAGGCCCTGAAGTGAGAACATGCTTGATGTGTTTAAGGAAAGAGGGCAGTGTGGCTAGAATGGAGTGAACAAGGAGATGGGTAGGAGATGAGGTTAGAGAGATGGGGAATATCAGATCACGGTCCTTACAGTCTTTGCAAGGATTCTGGCTTTTAAACTGGTGAGGTGGACTCAATTAGAGGGTTTGAGCAGAATGACATGATTTGACTTTCTTTTGAAAAGGACTAATTTGACTGACTTGTTGAGGTGAGCCAGGGGAGAGGCTTATTACAATAATGCAAGTGAGAAATAAGGCGGCTTGGACCACTGTGGTAAGAGTGGAGGTGGCAAACGTGGTAATTTAATGAATACCTTTTGAAATCGGAGCTCCCAGGATGAACACTTAATGAATGTGATGAATACTTTTGCACATTAAGTCTGGCTGATCCTAAAATTTTAAATGATGTTAAGGTTAATCACTGGGTCCAAGTTTTATCAGCCTGATTATTATAAAGTTTCCCATCAACTTTTTAACCTAATTGTTTTAGCAACTTTTGATCATTTTTTAGATTCGTTATTTCACAAAGGATGACAAAATGGTTATTTTCTGATTCTGTCATTCCTTTACATTTGTTATTTGGAATCCTATAAAAAAGGGTTTTACTTATTCACTACCTGGTTACTCTGGGGTACCTTTCATATAAGAAAGTCAGGAATAAATGCTTAATTCTTTCCCATTATCAATTTTCAGAATAACTAGTTTATGCCCTAGTGACTTCCAAAGATGATCATGGAGTTTTAAATATATATATAACTTATCAAATCAGTGGAAGTCATTATTTTGATGTTCAAAATGTCATTATCTGATATTCATTTGACTTTAAAACATCTTGACAGTGAAAACTATGAAACAAGATACATTCTGAGAAGTGAAGTCTAACTCCATCAATGTCCCTTCTACCTGTTTTCTTTTTTTTCTATAGATAACTATTTATAAATGGTTTTGGTTTATCCTTCTATTGATTTTTTTGAAAGGAAAAAGTGCAATTCTGTAATATTTGTATCCTCCTCAGTTTTTTTACAAAAAGAGTAGCATTTTGTGGAATACGAATTTGGTTACAGGTTGGGATATACAGGAAACTGCTGGATTCCTTGAGGGTTATTGACATCAATCAACTTTTCACTGCTTGTAAAAGATTTTCTCTTATATTCCTAGCTGTCGCTACAGCAGGCACCTCAAGGAACATACATGTTTAAAAAAGAAAAGGACACTCACCCACACCATTTGACAATATTCAGCAAAATTGCACATCCAGCATTTCCTTTTCTAGGAGTCTTTCCCAGAGGTTGCACTAATAAAATTACAAAGTAATAAATGCGTTTGTTCTGTTCTTTGAAGCTTAGAACCATGTCTTGATTGTCTTTTAATTATGGGCTTTGTTTATTGGAGAAAGAAACAATACTGGTGGTGTAATTGGCATTAATAACATCAATGGTGTATGTATGGAAGAAATGGCACTTTGAGACTTGGCCATTTTGACATACTGTGAGGTTAAATATTTCATCAGTTAACGTTAAATCATTCATCAATTTATTAATTCCTTTAATAAATATTTACTGAGCACTTAACAGCATGGCAGCCATTGTCTTAGGTGTTCAAGAGATCAGTAAAGAAGACAGACAGAAATCTTCTGTAGAGTTTGCTTTGTATAGATGTGAGGGGGAAGTAGACGAAGTATAATAAACAAGCAGGTAATTTATTGTTTTCAAATGTGAAGTTTTAGGTTTCCTCTTCTACATCTTACTTGTTTCTTTTTCTGGCCTATAAGTGGCATCATTAGGAATTGCAAGACTCTGATAGGTGAAAGGGATTGAGGACTGAAGAGGTTGTAAATATGTATACTCTGTATGTGTAACATAACTGTAATTCTGGTCCCTCCCTCCCACCTCACCCTCAGCTCTGTAATGTTTTTTTATTAGAAGGTTGCTCAAGAACTGTTTTGATGGTTCCTTGTAGTCACTAATATTTAGATAATTGTCCTGAAAGATCTTATGTTTTTGTTATGATGTATTCTTAATGACTGCATCTTTATTTCAGAAATGACCATTAAGAAGTAGATGTCCAGATGCAAAAGTGATGAAACAGTCAATTTGTCATAAAGTAAGATGCAGCTGTGGCTTTTCAACCAGATTAGTAAGTGTGGCCAATTTTTTTTTAACTCTATACTTATTTTTTCTACTTTGAAAAGCATTTAGTAAGAAATATAGTGGACTTTTTTTTTGAAGTGTCGACTTGTATTTCTGTTTTTACTTTGGATTATAGTACAAATTCTAGTATATAGCTCTAGAAAATATATATCCTTGCTGTCTGTACCTTTTTAAGAACTATAAATAATTTAAGAACTATAAGTAATAAAGGTAATATTATAAAGTCATAGCTTTAGAGGGAATGAAAAAGAGTCACTGTAATACTACTATCCAAATACAACCACTCTTATAATTTTGGGATATTTGTTTTCCCTCTGGTCTTTGTTGTACACATTTAAAAATATATATAATTTTGATCATAGTGTTGTAAAGAATGTGATTCTTGTATATCTTTAAAAAATTTAATTTGTTAAGATGTTTTTTTCCTGGAAATAAAAATGTACCCTTCAGTATAGGGTTTCTAACTGGGATTGGGATGATGAAAATGTTCTAGAGTTAGATGGTGGTGATGGTTACATTACTTAACGAATATTGTAAAAAAAAAAAAAACCCACTGAATTTTACACATTAAAAGGGTGAATTTTATAACACGTAGATTATGTCTTAAAAAAAGTGCCATTCGGAATATCAAATCTTCGCAAGAATAAAACCCAGTTGAGTACTGATGTTTTAGAATATGAAAATGTGCCACTCATTACTATGTACTTAGCAACAGTAATTTGATAGCTGGTAGAATAGTGTTTTTATAATAATAAAAATAATGAATTTTTAATAAATGTTTTTATAAAAATAATAAAGTACTTTTGTTATTAGAGACTTAATGTCTCATTAAGCTTTCTTAATGCCAAGTGCTGTAATAATCTGAATGTACTGTGTTAGCATTTTGTAACTTTTCATTTTCAGGAGACTTTCTGTTTGAAACTAACACTTCAACTTTTCTACCTGAAATTTTTTTAGGAACAAAATTGTGTCTGTTTTTCTCAGAAGAGAATTCCACAAGGTAAGACATTGTTAATGTAGTAATAAAACAAATACAGTTGAATACAGACTTAATTGCTCTGGCTTTTTAAAAAAGTCCTTTTTCTACTCTTACTTTATATCTTTTCTTGATTATTACAGTGTAAATTTGTTAGCTACTCCTTTACTACTTCAGAATTTACTAGCAAGGCACAAGCCATCGTATTTGAGGTCAAGATGAAAAGAGTGTGATAAACGTAGTACTTTTAAAACTCAAATACTGCTTTTCATTGTCAGAGCTTACTCCTAGCATCCTTAGGAATTAGTTTGTCCATTCTGAGAAAAAGTTGTTTTCTTTCATTGGGGCACGTTCACCTTTTACCTCAGTGGACATTATCTAAATGGCTTTGAGGAGTAGTGGGTTCATAGAAGCTCTCTTAGAGCCTTTAAGATTATTTAGCAATGCTTCCATCTGTGGAAATTGTATAACTCCTATATTTAGTTTAAAAAGTGGAATGCTTCCTACCAGGTAGATAAAAAAAGATTGAGTAACATCTAGTGTTTTTAAAAAATCCTGAATGATCACCTTACAATGGATTTTAAATGATCGTTGAAATACATTATTGTACACTTTAGACTTCTGAAGGGTGAAATGTTCAAGTGAGTTAAGAGTAAAATCTCCTTATCAGTGTGCTTATGCTATGCCAGGAACTTAAAATCAGTTACTTGGCAGCATCAAGAATTTACTTTGGTTAAGTTTTCAGGGGAACTTTTGGCATAGGTAGTAGTGATTAACTGCAGATTAATTCAGTCTGTCAACTGGAAATGCTTATAGAGTGAATTATTCAAATCAGTAACTTTCTCATTTTTTCTCCTTTTTCAGTATCCTATGTCTTAAGGGGAGCATGCATTCTCAAATGCATCTTTTCCACCTGTTTTTGAAACTGTCCCAGATTTAGTTAACCAAGTTAGTTTTTATCCTGATAATGGAAAATAAAGGGTTAAAATAAAAGGGGATGCACTAGCTGATGAGGAGGAAGGGAGAGCAAATTACCACATTTTAATTTCCAAGTTTCTTGTGAAACTCTTTCCCCCTGTTTTTTTCTTCTACTCGTAGATGGTTAAGGGAGGGGGTCCTGGAACCTGTGTATAGATAGCACTATCTGATCTCCCAGGGCACTACTCAGAGGAGAAATCCAGATCCTTCTTTTCCTGGACCACAGTGCTTAAAGTAAAAGCAGAAACTTTCAAAATATTTAATCTTAGTGAACTTGATCTGTTACATCTTTGTCATTGTTCTTTTGGCAAATAAAATTTAAATCTTGGACTTCAGTACAATGTATGATGCAGCGATGATGAATCATAGTGTCTGTACTCTTAGGGTTCCCCTATATGTGTTCAATAAACACAAAGATGCTTTCGTAATTTTTTTAGAGTAGAAAATAATCTTTAAAAGATTTTTCATGTTTATACAGTATCACCCTGCTATACACTTAAAGGCATTAAAAAAAAATGAAAACTTCAGTTTTTATTAACCACACATTTAAAAATAGTTGAAATGGTAAATTTTATGTTATGTGTATTTTATCACAATTTTAAAAGTAATTTTTTTTAAATTTTGGGCAACTCTGTTTATTATGAAAGAAGATGGCTTTGTCTGAAGTATGTTTTAATTTCAGGTACAAGAGTGTGAAGTTAATGATACTCCTCACTTTGTGTCACACCCATTTGTTGGTGGTCCATTAAAGGACTGTTCTTCATGTCTTTTATAATTAGTCCCTATGTAAGTGACCTTTTAATGTGTAGGTGTATATCCTTTTGTTTGTGTCTTGTAAAAGATTTTATTTTATGTACCTGTATTTTAATTATACATTAGGCCTTAATCTAGTTCTTTTGGTCCCCTCCACCCTCCTCTTTCTTATTTTTTTCTAAGATCTGGCTATTTTACTGTGTTTATCTTACTTGTTTTGTCCAACTGGTGCATTGTATTCCAGGTTGTTTATCAAAATGAAGCTATTAACTCATCGACATAGAAAACAAACGTACAATTACCAACGGGGAAAGGGGAGGGGAGGGATAAATTAGGAATTTAGAATTAATAGGTACACACTACTATAAGTAAAATAGATAAACAAGAACAAGCTCAGGGACCTGTGTTCAATATCTTGTGGTTACCTGTAGTGGAAAAGAATCTGAAAAAGAATTACATCTATATTTATATGTATGTATAACTGAATCACTTTGCTGTGCACCTGAAACACTGTAAGTCAACTATACTTCAATTTTAAAAAAATTTTTAAAAAATGAAGCTATATATGTAAAGTACTTTAAATGTATAAGACACATAAAATGAGAATTTAGAAAAAGGCCAGTTTTTGCACATTTCTTTTTATTAGAGTTGAAATTAAAGAGTGAGTTAGATGCTGTGAAAGATTAGAGGAAATATTAAACATCTGTTTAGAAGGCTTAGAGTCTTGTTAGAACAGTCAAAGAAAAGAATTGTTGGGTCTAAAAAAACATGTATTTTTCTTCTAAAAATAATATGTTAAAATGCCTAGGTCTCAGAGTTATCTGGCAAAAGCCTAATAGTTGAAGATAATACCAGTAATAGTATAGAATCTCCCCATTATCTATTGCTTTTTAGTTAATTTCTCCATTGTAATGCACAGCACTGATCAGGGAGGGGCTTCTGTCAAGTGGGAAAATGCACCTTGTTGGGAGCAATTTCTTTTTGTGGGAGGAGAATCTTAGGGGCACTTAGTTCTGGAGGCTAGGAGGAAATGTAGAACTGATGTGAGTAGTGGAATGGAGAAGGGAAGGAATTCACATCTGCTAAAAGCCAGTGTTGAGGCTTTTTGAAAGAAGTAGTTACTTACATGTCAACACTTAAGTATTTGTAAAATCTCTGGTGTGAAGACTGGCATCTCTTGAAGTTGATAATAGATTTGGTATCCTATGCATTGTTGAATACTCACCCCACTCTTTAAAAATTACAATTCAGGCACAGGGAAATATACACAAAATGTTATGATAAATCACAGAGAAAAAAATGTGACAATGAGTGTGTATATGTCCATGAATGACTGAAAAATTGTGCTGAACACTGG